TGTATATAAAAAACACAAGGTGGCTGAATTTTCATGCTATTTAGATAGCTGAAGCTTATAGACGTTCATTACTTTCACTCAATTTAATTTGTTTTTTAACAACCCCCTCTGAACTGTTAAGCCCCTCCTTAGCACCCTCATCAAAAAATCCTGCGCCGCCACTCTACGTGACAAGAGACGTTTGCGTTTTCGACTATTAGACATACGAATAAGAGTGAATGTGCACATTTTAAAATAAAATATTATTTTCAAATAGTGTAAATTGATTACTACTTCATAATTACAAACCTAGAACTTATTTTTAGCATTCTTATTTACTTATTTAATTGCTTTATTATTATTATTATGCAGTAGATCTTACAATTCCTATGACCGTGTGCGTGACCGTGATGATCAGATGCGTGTTAAAGTTGCGTTTGTTACTATAGCAAAGAAAATAGTTTCTGATGCTGTCAATGTTGTTTTTGGAAGTTACATAAAAAAAATGCAGTTAGCTCAAAAAGCTGAGGGCACAGGACAGGTGCTGTTTGGATGAGCATGATCCTTGTATGTTAAATGCCATGTCTACACCAAGAGAACCCAATATAATCAGTTGATGCGGTGACTGTCCACACGGGAAGTGGCGCGAAGCGACAAATCTTCTTCAGTAACTGATGCCTCCTTCTATTCCGAATCTTGGAAACATGCAATGAAAGTGAAACCTAAAAAAACAGCGTGCATAAGAAAGTGATTGCACGCTTTCGCAAGCTTCAGCAAATGCACGCAATCGCAGATTGCAGGCTTCCCAGAAGAAACAACCCAGATGTGAAACTGAAATAATAACCCGTGATATAAGATTTTGGCCATATTGCTCAAGTCATTCATCCCACACTATCAACAGGCGCGTCATGTAGGCTACACTTCTTGTACTTCGTTTGGGCACCACAAGGTGTCACTGTGGCCTCAAAGCTTACCCCTCGCCTACTTTGGCTCGATTGCTATTCCTGAGGTAAAACACGCCCTCCTCATCACCTTACGGACAAAGAAATGTAGAAATAAATAAATGTGAAAATAAATAAATGTATAAATAAATAAATGTGGAAATAAAGAAATAAATACATAAATGTGAAAATAAATAAAAGTGGAAATAAATAAATGTATAATTAAAAAAAATAAAAATAAATAAATGTGGAAAAAATGAAAAAATACATAAATAAGGAAATAAAATTATAAATAATTATTTATTTTAGCTTTTTTACTTTTCTTTGTATATTTATTTATTTATTTTTGCTTTTTTACATTTCTTTGTACATTTCTTTATTTATTTCTAATTATGGTAAGTTTGGCATTCCATACTAGCACAGGAAAGACATGATCAGTAGGGGGCAGTCATGTAACGTACTGTACTGAAGTGGCAGAGAACATTAATCACGGCGAGTCTATTGAAATTTATTGCGTGTACTACGCGAAGGCCAATAACATATTCATGATTCTTTTATCAATAGTATTATCACGTGTTTTTCATGACAGTTTGATCACTGAAAAATAATTTCAAAAGTATTACTCTACAGCCTTATTTTTTTTTTATCATGCTTCGCTATAGGTTGTGGATTATCTAAAATCACAATCTAAAACGTAGCTTGATGTGGTAAGAACTACGACCAGAAAACCAACATAAAAAAAAAATCGGTTTAATTTAAAAGTTTAAATATCCCGTGCTAAGAGAACTACAAAATTAACAAAAGAAAATGTTTATTTTCAATCGCGAGAGAGTGGTGTAATGAGTAGGCCTAAGTAGGCTACAGGTTTTTGTTAATGCTAGGCCTATCCTTTGACGCGAGTGACATCTGACAGACAAACAAAATTGATTTTTGCTACATGATGTGACCTAAAATAATTTACAAAAATAAATAAAGACAGGGTCTGTGTTTTTGTAAGTGCAAATGAAGTGATGAAGCAGAGGAAAACAGTTTGCATTTTACAGCCAGTTTCTTTTTCCACAGTCTCACGTTTTACAGTAGGCCTGTTCCACTAAAAACGGCTGGGCAGTTATTGGGTTATTTTTTTAGTGATTGGTAGTTTTGTTGGGGTTTATTTGTTCCTGTTTGAAAACATTCATTTTAAAAGCTGGAAACCTGTTAAACATATTAATTTAGTTCAGATAATTTAGCATGAACGGATGAAAAAACTAACAAATATAAAAAACAAACATAAAGCAATTGAAGGCCGGTATGGATTCTTTAATTTCCTATAATTTGAAGATAATTTAAGCATTATTTGACTGTAATAAAATGTAATAAAAACAGAGAATACAACCGGAAATTAAAACACATGTTTCTGAACAGAGAAAACGGAATAAAACTATAGAAATAAAAATTGATATATAGGTCTATACACAAAATACGTTTCACTTGAATCATTTACAGATTAAAAAAAAAAAACCGAAAGGAAAAAATGTGCTGAGGGCCATTGACGTGCTCCGAAGTTCACAGAAAGTAATCCGAGACTGCAGAAATTAAGCGGCATCCTGCTTGTTTTCTTTATTTTGCAAAAGCTTTACAGTTTTGAATTATGTTTTGCTTCTGTCTGTCTTACCAACAAGAAACTATGCTTAAGTGGTGGGCCGTCAGGGCCAGCAAAGCCTTCTCTGCTGGCCTAAACACTATCAGAATCACTGATTTAGTTTTAATATATTTTTCTTTCTTTCTTTAGTAATGGCATTCATTCTCGCTACATAAGATACCATGACTGTTATGTAGTGCCCTGTTATGCTGCATTACTGTGTAATATTTATGGTTTCTATAGCCGTGGCATCATTATGATGGTATGAAGAGATGGATTAATTCATGTAGGACGCCACTGAAGGCCTAGGTGTAAAATGCACGGCCCGCCACTGGCTTAACCACAGGTCGAGAGCTGTAGTTCCAACCACATAAGATTGCGACGCTGTTTGTGAATGTTCGTTTGAACTATGGTTTCGGGAAACACCGAATCGTTGAACCATGTTTGTAACGACGCGGCAGAACTTGCGACCATAGTTGGCTAACAATGCTTTTGGGAAACACACACCTGGCTGTGGTGTTTAACTACAGAATGTTGTTCCTTGCGCCACCAGGTGGATATTGTCTGAAGCACGACAATGTTTTAAAAAAATCTGAAAAAGCGCCTGCAGGGAGCTCCGTGATCACGCGTGGCGAATTGCAGGCTGCCGCGTGAAAAAAGACACGTTCTCAGCGGCCAGATCTGTACTTAAGCAGTTAATGCAGATAGATTTGTAACCCATCACCACTTTTTCACTGTTCTTTCAATGACCAGAATCAGATTTATAATATTACTAGTACTGTAGTACTACCTTTAGTAAATGCTCTGCAGGAAAGAGCTAAAATATTCAACAGAACCCGTCCACTTTTTTAGCCGCCTTAGTTCAGTATTTCTGATTCATTTTTTCTTCATAAGCATTTTTTCCCATATGCAGAAATTCTTAAAAAAAAAAATAACCATAGAAATTCCAACATAAAATTAAAAAAAAAAATCAAGACATGAATAATTATTTGCGATGTCATAATCCAGTGGAATGTCGGAAACTAAGAAACAGAAAATTTCACACTAGCCTTGCAAACAACTGGGAACGTTTTATTGCTGGAGATATTTGTCAGGAGTTAAAACAATAACTGATGAACTGAAAAAAAAAAAACACAAAATCAAAATGACAGCACACAACTCTGAGTGCTGTGATAACAAAAAAAAGAAGAATGAATATACATGAGAAAAAAAGAGGAATTGCAACTACTGCCAGCACAAATGGTCATAATGCAACCAAGCTAAAAGACTGCACGACAACAGCGCAACATGGTGAAAATCATAAATACACAGAATGAGACACGGACTAAAAATAAATAATTGTGAATTTCAGAAATGTGGTGGCAGTATGAATCCAATCCATCATCCACCTTATTTTATGAGCTCTTGTAACCTTATTTAAATAGAAACCAAGAACCAGTTGTAAAATATCCAGTAACATGGAGCTTTGCTAGTGTGGAGGGTGATTTCCACCAGTTTACATCTTATGGTTTTCGAACATCTGACTCCATAACACAATCGAGACAGATTAACATACAATACTCTTCTATAACACTTTATGCAAGTACAGTGGGGTCCAAACGTCTGGGACCTCAGAGGTAAAATTCTTCTATTTTGCATTTATAATTTTTTTGTCATAAAATAATAGAATAATAACATAAGCAATTTGAATGAAATGTTAGAATTAGTTGAAAAAAAAAAAAGCATAGTATTTGGTAATATTAATTAATAGGTTGTTTGCAATCACGTGATTCTGATGACGAGCGAAATGCAGCTGGAGGGCAGGAAGTGATTTTTCTCCATAGCAATCACTAGCAGAAACTCAAAATGCCTGTGTTTTGCATTGTTTATGGATGCTCAAATCAGACAAACCGAGAAACCACAAGGAGCTTTTATCGTGTACAAAAATGTGTTGCTCATAAGGGGGGGAAATTCAAGAATTTGACTGAAAAACGCATCAGTGAAGCTCTCTGAACTGCAAATAACCTTATTTATGTGTCTACGTGTGGCGTTTAGCACTGAGTGAATTCTGACTGTCACAATGCGTGCGTGAGGTGGCAGCCCAATCTATTTATATCTTTATAAATATCTTAATATATTATTATATCCTATAATAACCATTTACACGCACGAGCATTATCACACGAGCTTCGCTCCTCCCAACCGCAGACACAGGTTTACAAGCCACTTTTTCCTGCGTTTTTCAATAAATTTCTTGACTTTTCCCCACTTATGAACAACACATTTTCGTACACGATAAAAGCTCCTTGTGGTTTCTCGGTTTGGCCAATTTAAGCATCCATAAACAACGCAAAACACAGGCATTTTGAGTTTCTGCTAGTGATTCCTATGGAGAGAAAAATCACTTCCTGCCCTCCAGCTGCATTTCGCGCATCATCAGTGACGTCATGTGCAAACAACCTATTATTTTTTTTTGGCCTGACACGGACTCCATAAGTTTGAACAAAAGCCAGCTGTTGTTATCCAGCATAATTTGTGTCCATCAATGGAAGCAGGGAAATCTGACCCCTTCAGATTTGAAGTTAGACAAATTAGCTTACCTGATTAGCAACACAAATTAGTGCAGAACCCTAAATATTTCTTTCTTCTTCGTTGTTCATAATATTACTTTATTTATTTTTTCTCTTAAAAATCCTGAAACCTTCTGTTCATTTCCCTGCTTATATTAGGTTTTGAATCTCAGCTTTTCAATGTGGGCTCAGCCTTTTGGACTTCACTGGATGAGCTACATTGAACTAGGTGTTTGTTCAATTTGTACAGAAAGTGTATGAAAATGTCACAATCAACTGTTATGTACAATAATGAGCTACAAAGTACTGCATCTATGATGTAATAAAATATGTAAACATTTATTGTTTGACACAGGTGACTGTGACAACATGAAATATACACTTGTTCGCACTGAATTTGTCTTCCTCAAATAAATTCATATTTCAGCCCTCCTTCAGTCATCGGATTGCTTCGTTCACACTTGATCCATATGTGAGTTGTGTGTGTGTTGCAAATGACTTAGTCAAAACTGAACTGAATTTAATGTTGAATGTCTCATTTTCCATTAGTAAAAGATGGATGCTTTTCAGTTGAATCGGGTTATACATGACAGAGCTCAATTAGAATACGAATGTTAAAGCAAGTTAGTTCCTTGACAGACACCGGAAGAAAAAAGGATGAAAAATAAAAGCAGAAACAAACAAAAATGAGTACGTTAATACAATTAAAAAAGTCATTTTTCCACAGTAAAGCCCTGAAACACATTCCAAAAAAAGACAATAAAAAAAGACAGTAAAACCATTTGTTTAATGGAACACTTCTTCTCCAGCATGGGTTAGAAAGGTACTGTTTTATGGCAAATTTTCCCACTTTGCATCTCCAAAACAACATCTTCTATTTCTCCTCTTTGCAAAGATATCAGTACTACATCACACACATCACATGCATGTCCAAAATCATGACCATTACCCATGATCATCATTGATTTGTACAGGGTTACAATGGACAAGGGTTGCTTTGTTTTTTTTCCTTTTTTTTCCTTCTCTCCTTTTTTTTTTACACCAAGGATTTTGTACCTCAGAAAGTCACTTGAGGGATAACAATGTTGCAATGAGATATTTTACACTGGCATTGTCCCACAACCAGACAGAAAGTAAGGTATCAAGGTCCCCAGAGTCCTATTTGCCTTCTCCCTATGCTTACCGTATGCTTAAGTGTGCTTCAAATCACATAACTCGGAAATGGGTTCATTCTGACTCAGTGTGTTTGAGCTTTTAAAGGATTTTCTGTGTAAAATCATTGTTTTCTGTTCAAGATTTCTCAGATGGTGTTCTGTCTCTGTGTTTTGCCATTTGGATTTTTGTTTTATACATAGTATTCCTTGTCCTTGTCTTTGGGTCTCTTGTTGCTGGCACCCTTAGTGTTGGGCTGTTTGTCTTTGACTACTGTGCCATTATTCTGTGCAGAATTGCTAATGTAGTTCCGTGTTTCATCTACCTGATAGGAGCTCTCGTCCCTGTTCCTGTATTTGTACATGGCATAGAGGAGGATGAGGATGCACAGGGCGGCAGCAGAGATGATACCCACCACCATACCCGTAGTGCTGCTGGACTCACGTATTACCTCTGAGGCACCAGGAGGCACTCTCCTGATACCTGGCACGGTGGGCAGAGCACTGGGGATGGTGCGCAACATGGGCTGGGTGATGTACGGCCCCTTCGGTTTGGTGCCGTCCATGTCGAAAGACGTGGGGAGTGGTAGTAGCACTATGTCCGGTTGGGGTTTGATTTCACGGTTGTTCATTTTCCCAGCTGGGATTTTAGGAGCGGTCTCGAGCGTGACGGGTGATGCAGCTGAGCTCCTGAAGTCAGGCAGAGGCGGGATGGCCGTAGTCCTGCCTGCCTCAGAGGCCTTGCTAGGTTTAAAGTCCTTTACTTCCCACTTGGGCGCGAGAGCTTTGTAGCCACCTTCGTAGGTCGACGTGGTCAAGATCTTATCTGTTACCAGGGAGAAGGTGGTGTAAAAATCTTCATCATCAGTAGGGGGGAGGCTAGAGTCGAAGGCCTCCCCAGAGCCAAACCCCGATATCACCAAGCCATCACCATCATCATCACCATCATCATCATCACAATCATCGCTGCCTTGGTCCGACAAGCAAGGTACCCCCGCCTCGGTGGCAATTGACAGGAACTCTTTGGTGGTCTCAATAATGGTGAGGACGGGGTGAAGGGTCAGGGGAAGGGGGATGAAAGGGGCTCGAGTGGAAACAGGGGGGATGTCTATGGGATCCTCAACTAGAACAGGGATAACTAACTCCCCTCCTGGCAAGCAGAAGAAAAAGAAAGGAAATTAGTGTCCATTCAAGTCTGGCTGCTTGCAAACAAGCAACTGTACATGACCAAAAAAGCAAGAACATTGGGAAAGAAATATGACAAAAAACACTTGTCTAAACCAATGGCCAAAACAAACCAAGAAAGAACTGAAAGAGAGAACAGAAATATAAAAATGCGAGGTAAATTTATCAAAAGGCTTGAAGGGACATGCAGGGTCTTGAGCTTTCTTTTTGGCATACTCGGTTTAATTGACCTCTACACAGAACACCTATTACTCACAATTATTGCACCCCTGCAACTTAGAGTGACTGAAACAAGCGAACCTTGAACATCTTTGTTTTGCTATGTGTACAGGTGAAAGTACAAAGCTGAGCCGATCCGTTTTGAGCAACTGCTCACATTGTGAATTCATTTAGGAAATTTATGTCTAAGCATCCTGTTGGATCAACGAACATAAGACCAATGAAGAGCGTAATATATGGAACACTCCCAAAAAATTATTGTATTGAGATTTCTAATTTTCTGAGCGGCTTATCAAGACTGTAGAGAAAATTACTTTATTTCTTTTCTATTTCAAGTCTGTCACACTTGAGATGAAAGCCAATTGCCTTTTGACAGTTCTTATGAAATTGCCACAATGGCACAAGTCACATGACAGTTCAACAACACCTGAATGTTTAGTCTCTTATGTGAACACTATGTCATACCATATGTTACATGATTCACGTCACTCAGTTTGACAGAGACAATTTAATTGTTGAGAACATAAACACATTGGGATTCACATTGACATTAATTTTTGGCAAACTATTGCATTTAGCTTGATTTACTGAATAAGGCCCAATGTTCTTATGATCGATTACACAGAAACATGTTCTGGTTGTTTTTCATGAAGGAGATCTATTATAAATTGGAATTGTTCTTGAAGTTATTTTTTATTTTTTTTTACAAGTCAATTATTCAGATGGTGGTTGAATCTGCTCAAACTTTCGCCAAGGTGGCTTTGCTGATTACAAACAGAGGGCACTATAAGGCAACACAGGTCTTAAACAACGGACCAAAATAAATAAAAGGAGAGGAAAGAAAAATAAAAGCAATGCAAACAATGGTTAATGGTTAGAGCAAAGCACTAGAAACATTCGCAAACCAAATGCACGGAGAGTGAAAAAGAGAGTAGTAAAGTACATACAAAGAAAATTAGTCTAAAAAATAATAAGCCCATAAAACAATTCATCAAAAGGTGGAAGCATACCATCAGTTCTGTGACTTACATCAACAAATTGCCCGCATGATTTTGGCAGGAAGAAAAAATTTACAAAAAATTAAGAAAGTTGTGTAAGAATGCTTGGGGATAAGTATGGTAAATCTGTAAGGATTTAATTAGGCAATCAATTTATCCTCTGATTTTATATATCATTATTTTTTTTTTCTTAGACAAGATGATACAGGGAGGCAACAGCACGTACATTCACACCATGACATGAAAAATAACTTCACCATTCTGCTCATTTGTTCTTTCTTTTGATAAATAAATCCTTTTCTCTACAAAAGAAAACTGTACATTTTCTTTTTAAGATAATTTTGCTTTGAAGTATCTACAGATACATATTTTCTTTGTTCTTTTTTTAAAATGAATTCTTAAACAACTGAATGACTGTACATACTGTACCGTTGCTAAGAGGAGAAGGGGAGGGAAAAAAGACAGAGAAAGAAGGGAGAGAGAGAGAGAGAGAGAGAGAGAGAGAGAGAGAGAGAGAGAGAGAGAGAGGGGGGAGAGAGGAGAGAGGAGGGAGAGAGGAGGGAGAGAGGAGGGAGAGAGGGAGGCCTATGAACAAACTAGGTAGGAAATGACATAGATGGAAGTGAACGTGTACATCAGTTGCCATGTCCATGTAAGGGCGGTAAGAAGCGGTTGGGTGGCAATAGAGCTTTGGGCTGTAAGGAAGGGATGGGAATATATACAAACAATGAGCATATACATGCCCATCTACCAGATCATATAGCACTCTCAAGACTGACACTCTTACAGACCCTAAGCTGCAACTTCTGTCCCATGCAGTTTCCATTTTGGAATTTAGATTTCAACAATTTAGAAGTCAGATTTCAACTGGAAAAATGTTGACCAATATTTAAATGACTTTGAACATTTGGAGTAGATAGTGGTGAGGAATTAGCATCTTATTCTTTTTTTCTCTTGATAAATTATGTATATGTATAAATATATGTATGGCTGTATATACAGGTATATAGTTCTCAAATGCTTTTGAATATAGACTTAATATTGACCAAGCTAAACAAGAAAAAAAGAGAAACTAAACAAGAATCAGTATAGAAATCATAAAAGAATATATACCAATGTACTGTTATTTGAACTTTGAAGGAGAATTCCATCCAAAAACCATTGCCAAAGATATGCTGTGAGCAAAACATCTGGATCACTTCATAATCAGACAGCTCATGGTCATTTTTTATTACTACCTAATTTTAGTGACTGACTTTAAAATCCAAGTGTTTTATTTATTATTGATGATCTAATCAAGCACAAAATGTTCCAAATGCCTCTAGTCAGCATACTGATCTGTAAAAACTATATGGAAATACAGCATTTTGGATTGAATTCTCTTTTGAATAATTTTATACAAAAAACACACACATATACAGTATATATATATATATAGTAGATAGATATATACATATATAAATATACACAAACCAGAGGGTATATATGTATACATGTATAAACAAAAAAGCAATAAAAACACATAGAAATACCTGAAAATTCTCTCACACTATCAATATTAAAATAATCAGAAAGCACATAATGAAACGAAGGAGGGACACTGTACCGTCACCACCTTCGCAACTAATAATACCATTATTAGTTTTCTTTTGTAAATCTCTTGTTAGTAGCTTGACAGCACAAAGCAGGGGTATATTTCAGGAAAAGAGGGAAAATCACTTTTTTTTTAATTTTCACTGCAAGGTGAAATCATGCTTTTTAACAAGTTGCATTTAGGGAAAGTAGAATCACAGCACTGCAAGCTGGGATCAGAAAGGCTGAGAACAGGGTTACAGGATATTGAGAAACTTTTGTGCAAAAGGCTGTGGTATACTGTATACACCTGTACCTACTTGAATCATACAGGTGAATCAACAAAATCTCAATCTCAATACAAAGATAAAGACCTACTGATCTTATGACCATTTGAGCATAATGTTAATCCTGAATGCATCAAGCCAATTTAGAGCAGAAATATTTGGCAGAAATCATTGTATAACCAACAGCCGTTCGCTCAACATTAATGACAATAAAGACTGGGAATTCCACAAAATGCCATCCTAATAAGACAGAATTTTTTTCTAAAATGTCTCTAACAGATATATTGAAAAAGCATAATTAATTTAAATAAATATATTTCTGTTCGTATGTAGGACATGAGAGAGATTAATATCTTGTGTGGCTGACCAGTCTGTTTTTATTATTATTATTTTTTTATATATATATATAGTTGATTCTTACACTGATTACCTGGTGAGCTGGGTGGCATACAATTTAATGACTGCAAAAATGGACAATATTTACTAAACCTACGAAACCCTAGCATAAATTAGTTTACCAACTGAAACTAGTATAGCAACTGGCAAAACCTGGTCTCATGGCAAAATCGTACCTGGGGGCACTTTTTCGTGAGATGCAAAATACGTACCAAAAAGTACATATCACTGCAGTTTCCAAAAGAAATGAACACTAGAGGCAGTAAAACTCCAACACCTTTTATTCCTTTTCACACAAATTTACAGAGTTTCGCTTAATAAAGTGTAATTTCCGCACAATTACTTGAAGAATATTATGTTATGACTTCAAAACAATTTTAATATGCTGGGAGATTTGAAAACTGATGCTTTTGAATGTTAGCATCGCACATATCCAGCTTCATATCTATGGGTTTTCACAAACGATAGGCTTGTTCGGTAGCTCACGGAGTACGGAGATGTACTTGAGAGGTGAGGAGCTCCGGTTTGAATCCCGTGTAACTACGGTTCGACAATCTGCATATAAGGAAGTTAAAATGGCACGGTTGCATCAACAAATGCGTTTTTATATCAGTTTTGCATTTGTTAACACTATCGGGTAGGTTTAGGGTTGGTGTAGGACATATTCCCAACATGATAGAGAATGTACTTTTAGCAACAGTCCCCGGATATTTGAATTCTGAACCGCCGCAATACGTACCTATATCAATGTAATAAAAACGTGCCAGGGTTCACGTATTGAACCCATGTTTTAGCCCCACTCAGTGGACATTTCTCTTTGAAACTGCGGCGAAACGTGCAGTAAGGTACGTAAAAACGGTGTTGCAGAAAAGTACCCAGAGGTACGTATTTTTATGAGACCAGGTTGGGCAAAAAGATTACCTAATCACAGCTTTGTTTACTGATTCCCTAGACCATCCTGAGCTAAATTAATTTATTGAGTAAGTTATATTATTGGCTGCTTCAGATGATTTCATCAAGATGAAAGCATCTACTAAAACCACAGGCACAAAGACAGTGCCACAGTGGACCCCCACATGTCTCGGTAAATACTTTAATCTTACATTAGCACTTCAACAAGCAATGATAATTTTCACAGTGTTTTAATTCAACACAAACATTGTGTGCTTGTCTTAGGGGACTATATTTGTTTTGCAGAGCAGAGATAGGAGGAAATGTTCTTTGGGTTTAGCTCCATTACAAAGCAAACACTTCTACACTGCATTAAGCCTCCAGCTCAGATAGATGCAGCGTTCTCTACATTTGCTTACAGGAGTTAAATCTTGTAAACAAATCTTAAGGGTCACCCTCTTTCTCAGCTGCTAAAAACTCTCTCTCTCAAAAAAAAACATCTTCTGCACAGAACTTTCAGAGCGGAGAGAATGCGAAACAAAAGAAATTAACCATAACAGCTGACATTCACAGTAGTGCTCTCTCTCTCCTGTGCCCCCAACCAAATCCGAGCATCCTCGGTACAGATATCTGTGTCTAAACTCCGTGACCATCTTGCTTTCGCTGAGTCTTGCCAAACAGTGATGAATGCCGCAGGTGTGTGGGGCTAAACTTGCCTGATCCCCTAAAAGAAGAATCTGTGTGAGCTGGCCCCTGTGGTTCAGAAAGCTCGCCGCAGTCAAATCCTTTTGTGTCAGCCGTGCATTGTGCTCAACCTGTGGTTCTCCATCTCAGCCTCTGCTAACTCATCACCATTGTAAGAACTGAAACGTGGGAAATGAGAAGTCCGCATAAGTGCTGAGGTAAATAGCGGCAGGGTATCTCCGCACAGAGATACAAAAACTGGCTTTTATGACACTTCCTCAAAGCATCAGACTGGACAATCGCTAAGCTCCACCCTCCTTGGTTACAATTAATCATGTATGAATTTTATTTTAAACATTGGTATTTTTTATGTTCATTATTGTAACTCAGTATTTTGAACTCAGTATTGTAATATGAGCTCTTTATCATTCATAAATTAATTATTAAGTTAATAACATTGAACTATTTGGAGCAAAAACATGAAGAAAGTGTGTGTGTGTTTGTGTGTTTTTTATGTCACATATAAGTGCCCCAGCAATAATGGTTAATTGTACCTGAAGTAATTACCTTTAGTAATATTTTAAAGGAGGGGCTTAGCATAGGGTCAATTAGTTTAGCTTCCCCAGTTGTGATGTTTAATTGCTGTGTTTTGTTTTCTCTAGTTTGTCTTTTTAAATGTCTTTCTAAGAGATCTTTTTACTTAAAGTGTCACAGATTGCTGCAATTCATCATATCATATCTCGATGTGACCCAAGGTGATAAATTAATATCCTCAGCCAGAGGCATGTGACCACTGTCTGCTGTTCAATTTGTTGTGTGGCCATTAAACTAAATGTGTCAACTAAACAACCTTAAACTGATCTGAGAGCTGCTTTGAAGTGACAGCAGGCCCAAGAAGTGACTACACCAAAATTCAGCCCGTGTCAGTGGATCAGCGACCCATTTCCTCAGGGTCTCATGTTCTCTGTGCACCTCTCCATGCTCTCCTGATTGATTCTTGCATTGAAGACTGTTTTTTCATCTTAATCAACCGAGCCGATGACAGCACGATGAAACCACAGGGATCTTACAGACACAACATCAGTTTTACTTTAAAGACTCTTCCTTCTTGAACTACACTGGTGCCAGTTTTTCCCGTTTGATTCAAACATCAAATACTTGGAATTGTGTCAGTTGTCTTTGTGCATGAATTTATTTTTAGTCTTCGGGAAAGTTCACTCCTATGATCTATTCAGTACATAAACTTCATTTATTTATTGGTTATCCTAAAGCTGAAATATGGATGTCAAAAATAGAAGAAAAAAAATAAATATTATGCGAACCATATTAAACCATCTATAGGTGATTTCTTTCTATACACTGTGGCTGTTTCTATCAACATACATGTAGGCTCATTGGAAAAACGCGCCTCTAACTCCAAAAACGCACCTATAAAGAATTCACTGCAGTTTCCAGTTGAAATGAACACTACCTGCAGTAAAAAAAACACCACTTTTATTATGATTACAGGAACAGATTATTGACTAATAGAGCACAATGCTATGTTATGACCTCAAAAAACACTTTTTCCATACTGCATGATTTTTAAAATAATACATTTTAATATTTGCATCACATAACCAACTTTATATGTATGGCTTTTCTGTTGTAGTACACTTGTTCAATAGCTATCCTGGTACAGCACTGCACTTGCAAAAAGCAACCAAATATTGTTTTGCAGAAATGTCGCCACAGGTCTGTTTTTCCAATGACCCTGGGTTAGTTTCTATACACTGTGTTTGTTTAAACTTCCTGACGAGCTGTTTGATTTGTCAAACCGATAATTTATTTGTTTATTTCATGTCTTGTCAAACCTGGCCTGTATCTCCACACTAGAATCACTGCAAGATTTTAGGGTTTCCCATCTTCAAAATTCCAATGTAATCCCTGTTCTTGGTATAAATGTTTATTAGCCTTTTTGTGGAATTCCCATGATTTCAAATGTGTTTCACAGCACACAGAGCAAAAATACAAGAAACAACAACAGGCCAAGACATCAGAGAGATAGAGCAATCAACATTTAAAGACAAAGACATCAGCACATAGACAGGTGATATGCACAACAGCACACATGGTCGGCCTGTTAGCGAACTCATGGATGGAGAAGCACACAGGATGGAGCCAATAACATCCATGCAAGAGTCATGATGAGATCTCCCACTGGGGATCAGTTAGTTTGCAATCAACGCATGCGTCAAATGCGACTGATCAGTAGCAACAAATAGAAAAACAGATATACTTTGTGGCAATAAAAGTCTTTTTTTATGCCATCTGCATTCAAACAGATATGTCTATGCAGAAAGGCACAGAAATAAAGATGAGATCAGGGATGGACGGGTGGGGGGGTGGTCATTCTTTCACACACAACTTTCTTGAGACAGAATGGGGTTGCCTGCACAAGGCAAAAATAATAAATAAAACATATGATGGCAAGAAAAGATTTTGTTGCCTTTTATTTCCTGTTGTATAGAATATGGGGATGTTTCATTTTAGCCTAATGGCACAAAACATAACAAAAATGAGGAAGATAATTATTACGTTTTTTTTTTTCCAACCACCAAAATTCCATGCGGCACAAGATGAGGCGAAACAAGAGGATCAACTTTAATCCTGGAAAATGGAAGGATGAGGACATCAAAGTAAAAGGCACCCAAGAGGTAAAAAAAAAAAAAAAAGAAAATTCTTGGAAATACAGCAAATAAACCCAAATCACATGAATGGAATGTCAGAGTGGATACAGTAGGAAGATGTTTTTTTCACATGAAAAGGTTCAACCAAAACAGAACAGATAGTATCATGCAAACTGTCCAAGAAATCTGAAGCGAAGGTCAGACTGATGATGTGAATTTCTGTGTCAACATGAAATCGTATGAGTGTGGTGGTTTGTGGCTAAGTGTACTCGTATCAAATATCAGATGAGAAGAAATGAAAGGTAACACTGGAACTGTCCCTTAGTATACTTCCTGTTACCATTGAATTTGAGAGGACTTGGGGATGGTATTAGATTTACCACAGTTAGGGAGAATTTATCCAAAGCACAACTGTCTGCCATCAGGTTTCAAAACTAGTACAGAATACATCTTTGTATAATGAGCAGAGTGACCTTGTAAGTTTGAGAAAAATATGCGGTAAAATTAACAAACAATCTGTAAAGTCAAAGGTAATGACGGACCATATGGATACTAGCTTGCCAGGTAAACGTGTATGACACTCTTTAAAGATGATAAAAACAAATCATTGTTTTTGCTGGAAGTCATTTATACAACTGAAAATATAAACAATCAAAGCGTGATGCCAGCAAACATGGTTTTAATTGGTGTATTTCGGAGTGGAAGGTTAAAAAAACTGGTCAATGCAAGACGTATGTTTTGTATAATGCAGGGTGTGGTTTGAGGTAAATTAGTGTTCTAATGACATTTAGAAGCAATTAAAGGCCCTTTGGTTGAAAGGTACCAGTACAGGGCAGCAGGCAGACCATCGAACTTTCATAAACCAAACAAGCCTTGCATCTATAATGGCCTTGTAAGCACTAAAATCAACAGCAGGGTTTCATATACTGCGATGGCTGACAGCAGGAGTCTGACAATTACAGCGAATCCCAAGTTCTCTGAAAATGATGTTTTATCTTAACCATACCAATTAGTCATACAGTACACAAAAAAAAGTTTGTTTAACCTTGAGGAAACAGAGGCTATGTGTGGAGAAAGGTGAGCACAGAAATTCGAAGATATCTGTTCTCTATTAGATCTTTTAACGTAAGGCAAGCCTTCAATGTGAGGAAACAAAGGAACAAACAGGAAGGAGTTGTTTCTGTTGCTGTTAGTCTGCTACACATCATAAATCTCTATGCTCGAAGCATTATTCTCATTTGATTTGTAAACAACTCAAAATGTATCATCTGTCAAAGACGCACACACATATGCACTGCAAGAAATCCATTGTGTACAGGATTGATACATTTTGAAGCATCAGAGTGAACTACATGGAGTTTGATACTAATTTTGTACTTTTGTCATAAAGTTTGGCTCTCTGTTGATTGCCGAGAGGACAAAATTAGTATAAACACACAACCATGTTAGTGACGTTCGGCCCCATGATCAAGTGTAACTCTGAAACAGCCCAATGCTTCCTGACTGATTTCACAATATCATTTGCTCAGAGAAATCAGCCCAAAGACTTCAATACAACAGAAGTCAATAGAACAGAATTTGGACACATAAACCATGTCTTAAAATATATCAATGTCACTGCACAACAGATAACAAAATATCAAAGCAAGTGACATTTATTTAAAGGATAATGATATACTGTTCAAAATTAAGAAAAACGTATTTAGACTAAGGCAGTCTTCTTCTTTTTCTTTCATCTGCCACAAAAATTTAATTTCTTTTAAATATAACTTGGGAGCAAATATTTATATATTTTAATAAATGCAATATAGCCCTAATTTAAATGTTATTAATTGACAGACACGTTCTGAAAGTCAGATATTAGTGGAACATGCCCACAGTTAATGTGTTGGAGTCGAGTGAAAAAAGAAAAAGGTTATTCCTCAGAAATCCTGAGAAAATATTTAGTAACATTTGTTTGCAGATGCCATTTGGTTTGATATTTTATATTCTAATCCAGTAACATACAGACATTTATTGTGACTTAAGTGTCCAAATACTCTTGTACATCAGTGATATACAACTTTATATCACTACAGACATATGTTTTTATAGCTGTTATTTTTAAGCTTGAAAAAGGGCTTTTAGTGACACTTATGAAGTTACACTGGGTTCTCATGGGGGTGATGCTTTGAGAGGGAGAGCTCAAATAGAAGAGATTGAAAGACCAAGTTTAAGCAAGCACAACCGTAACACATCCATCCCACCTGTGTGTCCCCCGTCACACTCCTCCAGATCCTCGTCATCGCTGGAACATTCTGCAGAGGACACAATGTCGTCCGTTGTCTGCTGGTTCAGCCAGAGGTGTGTGGAGACAAACAAATAAGAACAAAGGTTTAAGTGAAGCCAAATCTACCAATACAAAGAGGATTGTGGGTAAAAACAATGAAAAAACAAAAAAACGAAATTTAAAACAGAAATGTATTTTTAATGGTCTACAAAATCCCTTTCTCTCAAATATTGCACTTTGGCGAAGATATTGATGATATTTTTATGTTATGGTCAGGTACTGAAAATCAACTGCTACAATTTCACAGTTTTCTTAACACTAGTGTTGAACACTTACATTTTACAGTTAATTATGATGATTCATGTGTTAGTTTTTTGGACATACTGTACGTATTATTAGGGATGGCAAAAAAATTAATCACAGATCTTTACAGAAAACCCACTGATCGTAACACACTTTTGCATGGACAGAGAACGACCCACTCACTTTTTATCTATCCCCTCGGGTAACTATAGTTGTGGTCGTTGTGCCCAGTGTAATTTCACTACAAAAACGAATGTCTTCTCTCATTCTCATTCAGGAAGGGAGTTTAAAATTAAGAGTGTCATCACTTGTACTACTAAAAATTTAATCTATATGATAAAATGTCCATGCGGGTTAGCGTATATAGGACACAACGTGCTTTAAAAACTAGGATTGCAGAACATCGAAGCAGTATATACACAAAAACCCGGTAGCAGTACATTTTAATTAAAAAAGGCATAACCTTTCCACACTTAGGTATATTGGAATTGAACATGTTAAAGTACCTAGGAGAGGTGGTGATGTCAACAATATCTTATTAAAAAGAGAAGCTTATTATATTTATAAAAGAAGAATGGCATCTACACTGATATTAGTCTGTTTATTTCTTATGCCGAGGCCACCAGATCCAGTGTGTATCCAGACCAGATGGTCACTGCAGTCACCCGGATCCAGTCCGTATCCAGCCCAGATGGTGGATCAGCACCTAGAGATGACCTCTACAGCCCTGAATGTCAGCAGAGACCAGGACAACTAGATGAGCCCCAGAGACAGATCCCCAGTGAAGACCTTGTCTCCTAGACGGCCACCGGGACAAGACCACAGGATCCAGATGAGTCCTCTGCACAATGTGACTTTGCTGCAGCCTGGAATTGAACTGCTGGTTTCGTCTGGCCAGAGGACAACTTGCCCCCCGACTGAGCCTGGTTTCTCCCAAGATTTTTTTTATCCATTCTGTCACCGATGGAGTTTTGGTTCCTTGCCGCTGTTGCCTCACGACCCACTCACTTTTTATCTATCCCCTCGGGTAACTATAGTTGTGGTCGTTGTGCCCAGTGTAATTTCACTACAAAAACGAATGTCTTCTCTCATTCTCATTCAGGAAGGGAGTTTAAAATTAAGAGTGTCATCACTTGTACTACTAAAAATTTAATCTATATGATAAAATGTCCATGCGGGTTAGCGTATATAGGACACAACGTGCTTTAAAAACTAGGATTGCAGAACATCGAAGCAGTATATACACAAAAACCCGGTAGCAGTACATTTTAATTAAAAAAGGCATAACCTTTCCACACTTAGGTATATTGGAATTGAACATGTTAAAGTACCTAGGAGAGGTGGTGATGTTTACTATTGTCATTTTGCATTATTGACACTCTATTTTCCTATTTAATACTGTACAGTTGCTTTGGCACAATCTGTGACTGTGACTTGACTTATACACTAAATACTCTTTCCCCTAAAGGTTTGAATTTAGAACTTGATTTTAACTCATGTTTCTAATTGATATTTTTTGTATTGAAAGGTGAATGCTGTTGATACAGGCTCGTTTGTACCTAAATATGTGTTGTATAGTTATGCATTGACTATTTGTGTCAATGCATAACTAGTGTGACTATTTAGTGTCACTATTTTAGTGACACTTATGAAGTTACACTGGGTTCTCATGGGGGTGATTTTGCCTCATTGTGGTTGTCTTGTTTTAATTGTGACATACTATAATCACATGATTAACTTTGATTGGTAACAGGTGTAATCAATTGGAACTCTGTTTGAATCTGAGTACTTACTGAGCTGTTGCCTTTGCATGTATGTGTGTTTGCCTGACGAAGGTCTTCGAACGAAACGTTGTTCTTTTTAACTTGTTTGAATAAAGGGTGAATAACAGTGTGCAGATCTTTTTTCTATTATTAAAAACAATGAAAACACATCATTGCAGCAAGCATTATATTTTACTTCTCTCTCTTATTTCTCAAGGGCGGCAGACCGGGGACTGAAATGTCAGGTTTGTTTTTCTATTCGAGTTTATTTATGGTGGCTGACTCTTCATACATCTACCCTTCTCCAGATTCTCATGGGCCATCACAGATCATCATCGTCTGTGGACGCTCGCCTTCTGCTCGCTCATCAGCACCTTCCTCTATCCCACAATTCTGATTTATGAACACACTTGTTCCCGCCTTCTCTTTCTCTCCCAGCCTGGACACTCTGGCAGTGTTGTATTTCACCCCACATGCACGCACAGCCTGTTAATCACAGTGGATCGGTGCCTCGATAAAATAATTCCTGTCACAAAGCAAGGGTTATGAAAGCATAGCACTGATTGAGTTTGCAGTGCTCAGTGAGAGGACGGGCTCTAACTATTATTGAATTTGACAGGCTAATGAAACAGAATTCAGCTGGAGTCTGGAAGAGCTCCTCCGTACTAGGATAGAGAGGATGCTGTCGGGAAAAGAACATCTGTACTAATCTGCTCATAGTTTGAGTGAGAGACACTTGCCACCAAAATTGTGAATATGTTTTGGGATGCTGGTATGCTAGCATTCCCATTATCATCTTAGCGTGATTTAGCCAAGTGGGATTACATTACTACCAGTCAATCTATGATGCCAACCCCTCAGAGGACCTCAGATGATGCCAACCATGAAACAACATACAGAACTACTAAATGTTGCTATAAGTTTGATTGCATCATATAATAATTGCTGTTAATAGTGTTCATCGTCTGTTTGATTACGTCTTTAATTGATTATGTCTTTAATTGATTTTTCCGTACATTTCTGCCATATGTACATTAACTGACAGTCACCACTGATAAGCTACCACTAAATATTGTAGAAACTTAATTTGCTGTAAAGTTGCTTTGCAATGATTTGTATTGTGAAAAGCACTATACAAATAAACTTGAATTGAATTGAATTAAATCAATCATATTTTAGGTTAAGAACTAAAATCGCTGTATATTTTAAATAATTATTTTTAAAGAGCATGCCTCAAGGTGGAGCTGGATGCTGCTGAAAATTATGTCGTAATTAGAAAATCAATAATGCGGTCTCTATTTGACCCGATTTTTGTTTCCGAGTTGTTACTGAATTTTGAATTCAGTACAAAAATCCCGTCAAACATAATCATAGTCAATCATTGTTTACATTATCGATCACTGGTGTCACTTCAGAGTTCTCATGCACATCCCCTAGTAAACAGTAATATGAAGCCTATATGCCTGTTCACACCAAGGACGATAACTATAAAGATAACGATAAAAATATAGTTCCAAAAATCGTTCTAAATATTAAAGAATAGCAGAGTCCACACCTATACCACAGCTATAACGATAAAGGCACCGAGAAAAAATATCGTTGGAATCACTTTCAGAAAGTTTTTTTTCCAGCTGATAAATGATCAAAACATTGACAGCCAATCAGAATCAATCCTGCTATAACAAGCTCGAGAATTTAAAGCGACAGATGAGCGTGCTCTTGGATAAATATATATATTTATTTATTATGTATATATGTGTGATGTTGAGTTGACAGTAGCAGTAGCTTGTGTTTTGTTGAGGACAAAAATCTGCAAATATCTTGTTTTTAAAGCTTTAATAATTATAACATAGAATGGCTTTATGGTATTTAATCTATTAACACATGAAAGCACACACTGCATCAAAAATGTCTGTAATTTGGCCTATATTTCATAACTCCCTTACATTACATTAAATTGGCCTATATGTCTACATTAATTATATAAGATTCTGTATAAATATGCAACATTTCTGCCACAATACCACAGTTACGGTTACTACAGTAAATCAAAATGTTGGTGATTTGTGCCGCATTTGGCCCGCGGGCCGTAGTTTGGACACCCCTGATCTAGAGTTTCATGACTGAACTATATATTTGTTTGTAAATACATTTTGTAAAAATCAGCAGATTAATCATCAGATTCTCAAAATCTGCTTAATTCAGCATTTTTTTGCAGGTTAGCAGAATGGCAAAAGCTAGACCAGCCAGGACCAGCACAGAAATGTATTCTCAAAGGAATTGTCATAGTGCTGTTATGATGGTGCTGTATCACAGGATACTGACCAGCCAACTGACAGTTAATTCAGACGTGATCCTGTCAGATCAGAGGGTCCTCACCTCCCATAGTTCTTTACTGCTGTTCATTACAGTTTCCCAGAGTGTGAAATCACAGCAGAGATTTGACAGATGAGTTCGTGCATGACCAGTCGCAGAAGTGGTGTCAGAGGACAGGCTAGTTCAGACCATAACAGCTCAGAAATGACTTTCTGTCCGCACAGAGCACTATAGAGATGCCACTAATGTTCCATCTACTGTCTGTGACCACAGCTAAAATACGAGGCCAATACAAAGGCAATTCCAGACAGCCTAGAGTGAACTACTCAGCTTCAGAACAACAAAGCGTATTCTGTTTAAGTAAAGGGTAGACTTAACAATGACACATGTTGTGTTAGTGTAAAAGTCTAGAATCTAGCAGAACAAACATCAGATTATGGCTCTCTTTCAAAAACTTGTGCTGCTTAGCTGTCTACTCCCTGTAAGAGCACTATCATAGCTAAAATGGTACATCATAAGTGACTGATTTGAAACATAGACAGCAACTCTGTACATCATAAAATACACATATGGATAGAAATAGTTACGAGAAGTAAACATAATGATGTTAATAATTACTTGGGTAAGAGTTAAAAATAATCCAATGAAAAGACCTTGGATCTGATTTAGAACAA